CCCAACCCCAACCCCAACCCCAACCCCAAACCCAAACCCAACCCCAAACCCAAACCCAAACCCACACCCAAACCCAAAAAAAAGGCTTTCAAAATACACAATTTATTTAATTAAACAACAGAAAATTTAAGATCTCATATTTGAATACAACTATAAACTAATTAATAGCCCTCGAAATACAATCAGCATATTTGAATTATACTTTTACTGAATTGTTAGTCTATATAATAATTTTCCAGTTGCCAATTGAAGCATATATTATTCTAATCATTGTTAATGTTATTTTTAAATAGCGATGATAATTAATTCAGCTTTATAAGTAGGAACATCTGAGATAATTTTTTATCAAGAAACCTTCTAAAAACTGGATTTAAACTTAATCACCTTTATTAGTTTCCCACCATCATAGTTTTCCATTTATTAAGGATAAAGTAAATTAAAATTAGATTTAAAGGAACCTTTATAATTAATTAAAAGTTAAAAAGAAAATTTAGCGTCAAAATAAATCTAAATATTTTTTGTTCAATTTTTAATTTCCTCTAATTACATTTTATTTATAATTTATTTCTAATATGTTATTAAGAATGAAAGAGATATGATTAAATTGCAAATTTTTATAAATTACTCATTTTAAAAATAATTATTTTTCTAATTATTTGATGGCCCTAAGATAAGTTTTAATTCATTGAAACTTACCGAAATATATAAATTTTAATTTAGAATAAATTTAAAGCTATTAAAATCATTTTCAAAAAACCCACAAAAATATATTATTAACAATATTGTTTTTATGACATTCAAATCAATGCCTTAAATAATACCCAAGAAATCAAGATTTTAAGAATATACGAAATCATAACTATAAAGAGGATAGAGAAACAATAAGGCAAAAAGGAAAAACTCTTTTTGCGATTTTAGAAGATTAAGATATCTATTCTGTGTTATATTTAGAGAGAAATTGCATCTTGAGGCTTCATATTGAATTATAGAAGATGAAAATAAACCAGGAATGAAATTTAGCTTAGAAATCCTTAATTTCAAATAACTAAGTCAATAGATTTCTTTCTTTCCATCAGTATCCATGATGTTATTCAAAAAGTTTGCATTTTATCAAATTATCAATAAAAAACTAAATTATAAAATTGTTCTTATTTGATATTACTTCCTTTTGAGTAAATTTTAAAATAATTTAAAAACATAAAATAATCTAAAGTTTTTTATAATGATGCTCATTAAAATTATGTTTTTAATATAATTGATAATTGAAAAATTGTATGAACAATTATTGTTACTTTCTTAAATATAATGTTTATGTAATCAATTAAGTTTTAACAAATAGTAAAATTAAGTTGTATCATGTGGAGATGAGAGATAGATATTAGTAGTAAAAATTGGATTATAAAATAAAAAATTTCAAGTTGATTGTAATGGATGTCGATTATGCTTTATTAATGATAATCTTTTCACATTTCAACCTTATTCTGCTAATTTGATGTATGCATATGAAATTAATAGTGTAAGTAAATAGTTCAAAAAATGAAAAAATTTTAAAAATCAAAGTAATTATGATAATAGTGTATTATTTACATAAAATTTTATTAAATAGAAATAAATACTATATAATATTGACTAGACGACTTAAAAGTTGAAGGATAAGAAAGGGCTGAATAAGATAATGAAATCAAATTATTAATGTTCACATTCAATTAATTGTTCAAAATAGTTATATTTGAGTAAAAGACTTTATTAAATTTAAACAATTATAAATTCATACTGATAATAATTAACAAATATGAATGCAGATATAGATTCTTATGAAAATGAATATGGCAGCTCAAATTAAACAATAGAGAACTTATTAAATTACCTCAGAGAATTGTGGGTATCTAATTTATAAGTGAATTTCTAAGAAATCTCTTAAACAATCAAGAATAAAGGAAAATGTAGAAAAATTTCTTCGTTTAAAATTGAATGCTCGTTTTAAGAGTAGCTGTTTAAGATAATTGGATACTCAGACAATTTTTTTATGAAAAGGTTTTTCAGTTTCTCTTTGTAGATTTGCAGAGAGGACCCTTTTGATTATTTTCCAAGATTAATATAACTTAAATATTTTGCATAAACATATTATTACATATCCAAAATATCGATTAATTTTTTGACTATTATCAGGAGAATGAGAAATAAGGTGACAATTGAATGGAGCACTTCCTCTTAAATCTTATTGAATGAATTTTAAAAATTAACATATCCTTGTAATAGGATGTGCTATATAAACTTATCAAATTTGAAATTCGAAAATTAATAATGTATAAAAATTTGTTTAAATAATGAATACTATATAAATTTTCGGCAATTGAATTGTTTTTAGAGTACATTTTAACATTTTATAAGAATTTTGAAGAAACTTATGATATTCAATATAAATAATTTCTTATTTTAATTTTATTATAATTTTTATTTGATGTTTTAATCAGTTAGAATTTGAAAAATTTTTGTTAAACTTTTTGAGTAGATGGCAAATCTGATTACTGGATAATTTATTTTATTATTACAACATAAATACGATAGGTAAAAATAAAAATTTTCATCTATATATAATAAAGAAGATGAAGAGAAAAATCGATAAAATAGTATGATAAGAATTATGAGTAATCTGAAAAGATTCTATATTTATGAGTGTAATTAATATATATCGTTAATATGATATTATAAATAATTTTTTTTCGAAGTAAAGCCATTAGAGATGTCATAAATAACAGTAAAATATTCGAAATGAAAATTTTAAATCGTGAGATTATGAAGATGACAGGTATAATTAAATCTTACAGTTAAATTTTTGTCAAAAAAATATACTGGGAAGAGAAATGGTTAAACTATGTAGATAAATTTTTGTCTAATTTTTAGCTTAATTGGGGGAGTATTTTAAAAGTAAGCGATGAATCCTGATCTAAATCTTTTGAATAAATATTTGGTTAAGAATATAAAACTGACTATGATTAAGAAGGTTAATGATGATAGCTAATCATATTTTCAAGCATTTCCTCAATTCATACAATCAATCTAGATAGATTTGATTATATGCTGCCATCAAAGAATTTAAATAAATCTCCTATGTCAAAAATAAAAGTTAATAAATTTTTTATAAAATGAAAATAAAAATAAACAATTGATATAAATTATAATTAAATTAAAAGGCAAAATATATGGGTCTTTGCTAATATTTTCATCCTTTTTCCAGCTTACAAAATTAATTTCTATTATCCACAATTTTCAATAGAAAGTCTAAATTTTAATTTTAAGTTCAAACAATATATTTAGAAATCACTTTTGAATCAAGAATAACGTAATAATAAAATAAATGCCTATATCATATTTATCATAAATTTCATAATTTTAATTGTTTAGATAGTTTCAAATAACAGGATTTTTAGGTCCCTGAATCGTTAATATGGTGGGAATATTTTTTTTGATTATTTGTTCTCATGCTTCCAAAAGATATTGTGATAAATTAATAAATAAGTATTGTTGATTAAGATCTTACTTTCCTTTAAAAATAGGAATATTGATATCTTCTAATAATAAACTTAATAATAATTAGACATAGATGATTTACTTTTCAGTAATCTAGTTTTGCTTATCCGCTTTGATTTTAGTAGAGTCTTAGCTGACCTACCTTTTATGTATTCATAAATGAATCTTCTTAGATATTTAGGTTTGAAAATGAATATATAATGTGTCATCCAACCATTTCTATTATTCTTTAGGATATCCTGAAATCAAAGAATGTAAATAATCAAAAACGGTGACATACTCATTCAAAAATTTTCGGTACTTGCTAAATCCTTTTATAATTATTGACCTATAGGATAAAAGGATTAATCTTAAGAATAGTTCTATTTCTTAGATCTATTTGAATTAAATGAAATTCATCAACAAATGATGTTGCAATTTAAATGTATTTTCAATCAAATGCATTATCTGCAATGTGAAATGTATATTTATTATCCGCTATTGTTCACTACTGTCTATCTTTATTTATCCATCACTTAAATCAACTTATCTAACATTACTGGATTGTAGTATAATTATGGCAATCAAAAATATCTGATTATTACAGACTTTTATAAAGTAATAAAAATAGCACCATTAAATGAAGATAAACTTCAAAATTGAATTATCTCTTTAGTTATTTCTATTATACTTATTGACCAATAAGTTTTTAAATTTGTTTAATAACATCTAGATTAATTATGCTATTAACTAAGAGGATATGAAGAAACTCAATTACTTCTCATACATGGGATCCTTAAATGAACCATCATTATCTATAAGGGATCTCAAATTTATGAGTGATAGGTTCACTTCATCATATTATTATACAGTTTATGAGAATAAATTCTTAAATTCTAATTTTCATGTTTGTTTATTGATAATTACAAATGTTAATTGATACCCAATAAACAGTTTAAACTTATTTTGAGGATTATAGATATTTCAAAGTAATTTGTTCATTTAAGATTGATCCATATATGCAAATCAACCAAATGAATCAATTCCATTTACAATAGTTATAAAAAAGGAAATTCTTAAATTATTTGAAAACTTGATAATCTTTATTTATTATATTCTTGAAATTATTGATTAATTTATTTTCTCTTCCCATTTATTAATATTCTCATTCAACTTATAAATTTATTAGTTAATTACTCCCAATTATGATTTGTCCTTAGATATCTCATTGTTTACAATAGACCTATCATTAAGAACCAAAGTAGAATCCTATCAAAAGCTCTTTGGCCAATCATATAATCTAAATATTTAAAATTTATAGAGTATTCTCTTATAATCATATAGTTCCTTCATATTCTATGAAACAGAATCATTTTCAATAAACATAAATTATTACAATACTAAATTGGATAAGAGATGAATTCTTACAAGTTATCATTAATATTAGTAATATAAGCAATCTGGCTCCCAATTCTATTAGAGAAAATTAAGTCTAAATACATTATATTTAAGTTCTTATTACATTATCCATTGAGCCAATCTATGAATTAACATATGTTAATCATATACCAACCCCTTATTATACATATTATTCTCTCTAAATGATTTCATGTAAAAAAACAAATTTTGCCCATTATCCTTTTTAATTTCATCAAAAATAATTAGTCTATTAAATAAAAATCTCTTTAGAAAAATTTTCAAATTGAATTCCTTTCTAAATTTATCCAAATTATCACCTATAGTTAGGGCCACCTATCTCTCTCATAATATTTAATAGAAATGATTAGCGAACTATTGCAAGATTCTATACCTTTTAGTATTATTATCAAATAGATTATTATAACTACTACTTATCCTTAACTTACTTCAACTTTAAAATCACATTGTTAATATAACCCAACTCTTTCAAATCATGAATAAATAGAAGATAGAATTTATATAAATTCAAAAGATTGTTATTTAATTAAATCAATTCAATTATCATTAATCTATTTATAATAATGAAAATAATTAAAATCTCTCTAGAATCTTTGTCCTTCTTATAATCAATTTCTGGGGGAAGGCCCGAACTGATTCTTCTCTTTTCCAAATCCTGAGGTGGCAGGAGTTATCCAAGACTAGCGAGCCACTTTGCCAAAGCAACCATTTTTATTAGTTGATATTTATTGAATTATCCTTTGAATAACCATCAAAGAGGTGTATAATTACTTTTTTTTTTAAGTCCACAAATTCATGCAATTTAAACAAATTTAGCAAATCTTATCATTGTTGAGATTACATAAAGTATTCGTAATTTGGATTGTATTTTTGAAGGCTTCATCTAGCCTAGATTTTGAATAACAAATTAAAACATTTGCAGAAAAACATTCACCATTAGTGTTAATTAAACTTATTTTAATAAAAAGCTTTTATTAAATTAATTATTAATTAATGTTTGAATTAAATGTAATAGAAAAAGAACATAATTTGGAATGTAAGTCATAAAATTTGCCAAAAGGTTGTGAAAATATCTCTAAAAATAATAACAAGTTCAATACTCGTTATGGAAAAAAATAACTAAAAGTTGTAGGATCACTGGCAAATCTTTGTTTGAAATGTAAGTTGTATAAATAATTAGAAAAGACATAAAATAATTAAAATCACTCCTTTAACAATATAAAGTTTATTCATTATTAGCAAGATAAAACTTTGTATAAAGACATAAACCATTTCTTAATCCAAAAACGTAATAAAAAAATTATAAAAATATAAATAAGTAAAGTATAAAAAAATGGCTAAACCCAGAATTTCTTGCTGATTCAATAAAATATAGAAAAAAAATTGATTTTAAATGAGGATTTTAAATTGTACTTTAATAAAGGTAAAAACAAATAAAATATTAAAAATAGCTGATACATTATGTAACTTAAATAGAATTGAAGAAGCTTTATAATATTATGATTATGCAATTTAAAAAAATCCTGAAGATTTTAAATTATACTTAAATAAAGGTAAAAACCAAAAAAATATTAAATATAGCTGATACATTATATAACTTAAATAGATTTGAAGAAGCTTTATAATATTATGATTATGCAATTTAAAAAAATCCTGAATATTCAGACTTGTATAATGGAAAAGGTAAACACCAATAAAATATTAAATATAGCTGATACATTAGATAAATTAAATAGATTTGAAGAAGCTTTATAATAATATGACTATGCAATTTAAAAAAATCCTGAAGATTCAGACTTGTATAATGGAAAAGGTAAACACCAATAAAATATTATATATAGCTGATACATTAAATAAATTAAATAGATTTGAAGAAGCTTTATAATATAATGATTATGCAATTTAAAAAAATCCTGAAGATTTTAAATTATACTTTAATAAAGGTAAAAACCAAAAAAATATTAAATAAAGCTGATATATTATATAACTTAAATAGATTTGAAGAAGCTTTATAATATTATGACTATGCAATTTAAAAAAATCCTGAAGATTCAGATTTGTATAATGGAAAAGGTAAACACCAAAAAAATATTAAATATAGCTGATACATTAAATAAATTAAATAGATTTGAAGAAGCTTTATAATATTATGACTATGCAATTTAAAAAAATCCTGAAGATTCAGATTTGTATAATGGAAAAGGTAAACACCAAAAAAATATTAAATATAGCTGATACATTAAATAAATTAAATAGATTTGAAGAAGCTTTATAATATTATGACTATGCAATTTAAAAAAATCCTGAAGATTCAGATTTGTATAATGGAAAAGGTAAACACCAAAAAAATATTAAATATAGCTGATACATTAAATAAATTAAATAGATTTGAAGAAGCTTTATAATATTATGACTATGCAATTTAAAAAAATCCTGAAGATTCAGATTTGTATAATGGAAAAGGTAAACACCAAAAAAATATTAAATATAGCTGATACATTAAATAAATTAAATAGATTTGAAGAAGCTTTATAATATTATGACTATGCAATTTAAAAAAATCCTGAAGATTCAGATTTGTATAATGGAAAAGGTAAACACCAAAAAAATATTAAATATAGCTGATACATTAAATAAATTAAATAGATTTGAAGAAGCTTTATAATATTATGACTATGCAATTTAAAAAAATCCTGAAGATTCAGATTTGTATAATGGAAAAGGTAAACACCAAAAAAATATTAAATATAGCTGATACATTAAATAAATTAAATAGATTTGAAGAAGCTTTATAATATTATGACTATGCAATTTAAAAAAATCCTGAAGATTCAGATTTGTATAATGGAAAAGGTAAACACCAAAAAAATATTAAATATAGCTGATACATTAAATAAATTAAATAGATTTGAAGAAGCTTTATAATAGTCTGATTATGCAATTTAAAAAAATCCTGAAGATTTTAAATTGTACTTTAATAAAGGTATTTACAAATAAAATATTATATATAGCAAATTCTTTGTAAAAATTACATAGATTTGAAGAAGCTTTATAATATTATGATTATGCAATTTAAAAAAATCCTGAAGATTCAGACTTGTATAATGGAAAAGGTAAACACCAATAAAATATTATATATAGCTGATACATTAAATAAATTAAATAGATTTGAAGAAGCTTTATAATATTATGATTATGCAATTTAAAAAAATCCTGAAGATTTTAAATTGTACTTTAATAAAGGTATTTACAAATAAAATATTAACTATAGCTAATATATTAGATAAATTAAATAGATTTGAAGAAGCTTTATAATATTATGATAATGCAATATAAATTAATCCTGAAGATTCACGTTTGTTTAATGGTAAAGGTAAAAACAAATATAATGTTAAATATAGCTAATACATTAAATAAATTAAATAGATTTGAAGAAGCTTTATAATATTCTGATTATGCAATTTAAAAAAATCCTGAAGATTCAAACTTTTATATTGGAAAAGGTAAAAACAAACATAATATAAAATATAGCTAATACATTAGATAAATTAAATAGATTTGAAGAAGCTTTATAATAGTCTGATTATGCAATTTAAAAAAATCCTGAAGATTTTAAATTGTACTATAATAAAGGTATTTACAAATAAAATATTATATATAGCAAATTCTTTGTATAAATTACATAGATTTGAAGAAGCTTTATAATATTATGATTATTCAATATAAATTAATCCTGAAGATTCACGTTTGTTTAATGGTAAAGGTAAAAACAAATATAATATTAAATATAGCTAATACATTAGATAAATTAAATAGATTTGAAGAATCTTTATAATATTATGATTATGCAATATAAATTAATCCTGAAAATTCAAGTTTGTTTAATGGTAAAGGTAAAAACAAATATAATATTCAATATAGCTAATACATTAGATAAATTAAATAGATTTGAAGAAGCTTTATAATATTATGATTATGCAATTCAAAAAAATCCTGAAGATTTTAAATTGTACTTTAATAAAGGTATTAACAAATAAAATATTATATATAGCAAATTCTTTGTAAAAATTACATCAATTTGAAGAAGCTTTATAATATTATGATTATGCAATTTAAAAAAATTCTGAAGATTCAAACTTATATAATGCGAAAGGTAATAACAAATAAAATATTACATATAGCTTATGTATTAAATAAATTAAATAAATTTGAAGAAGCTTTAGAATAATATGACTATGCAATTTAAAAAAATCCTGAAGATTCAGACTTGTATATTGGAAAAGGTAAAAACCAATAACATATAAAATATAGCTGATACATTAGATAAATTAAATAGATTTGAAGAAGCTTTATAATATTATGATTATGCAATTCAAAAAAATCCTGGAGATTCAGACTTGTATAATGGAAAAGGTAAACACCAATAAAATATTAATTATAGCTAATGAATTATATACCTTAAATAAATTTTAAGAAGCTTTATAATATTATGATTATGCAATTTAAAAAAATCCTGAAGATTTTAAATTGTATTTTAATAAAGGTAATTAAATATAAAATATTAAATACAGCAGATTCTTTGACAAAATTAAATAGATTTGAAGAAGCTTTATAATATTATGACTATGCAATTTAAAAAAATCCTGTAGATTTTAAATTGTACTTTAATAAAGGTAAAATCAAATACAATATTTAATATAGCTAATACATTATGTAACTTAAATAGATTTGAAGAAGCTTTACAATAGTATGATTATGCAATTTAAAAAAATCCTGAAAATTCAATATTATATAATGGAAAAGGTAAAAACCAATAAAATATTAAATATAGCTGATACATTATATAACTTAAATAGATTTGAAGAAGCTTTATAATATTATGATTATGCAATTCAAAAAAATCCTGAAGATTCAGACTTGTATAATGGAAAAGGTAAACACCAATAAAATATTAATTATAGCTAATACATTATATAACTTAAATAGATATGAAGAAGCTTATTAATGTTATGATTATGCAATTTAAAAAAATCCTGAAGATTTTAAATTGCACTTTAATTAAGGTATATAAAATAAAATATTTAATAAAGCAATTTCTTTGAAAAAATTAAATCAATTTGAAGTATCTTTATAATATAATTTTTATCCTATTTAAAAAAATCCTTAAGATCTGTACTATAATGAAGGTAAAATACAATTATCATATTAAATATAGCAAATTTTTTGTAAAACGTAAATAAATTTGAAAAAGCTTAATAATATTATGATTATACATTTTAAAAAATGTTTAAAGCATTACAATATTAATTTTATTAACAATAATTAAATAACACTAATTAGAAATCACCTCAATTATAATGAACAATTATCATCATCATTATTTTAATTAAAAAATAAATAAAATAATATAACTATTCAAATTATTATAATTTTATGTTGGGTTTGGTCAGTACAGACCTATTTCCCTTTCGAACGACAGTAATATAGTGGTGGCTGGGGTTGGCCGGAAAAATATACCTTCCCCTTGTATTTAGTATGGTTGTGCATGGGTTGACTTCGGGAAATAG